AAGGTATACCCTGATTAATTGCATACATAGAATTTAACAAAAACAAATATTTCATATTCCTGGAGGTCTATCGTCATGATCGGAACGATTTTCGGGAAAAACATCAAAAGACGATTATTTTTCGGGAAAAACGTTTCTTCCCAATATTTGTCACAAACATTAGATTATTAAAATATATGTTGGATATCCCTTAGTATGAGACTTCATGACTCTTGTTGTCTAACGTGAGCTTTGGATTGCAAGCTCTGTGGTTAACGAACATAAATTAATTGTAAAGTTTTCAAAAATTTTCATCGTTTCTATCAGCATCTATTTTTCCTTTAAAATAATATATTTGTATGAATACAATATTTAGTAATTTTTTTATTTCCCATAATTTCATTCAAAATTTCAGAAAAAATTAATTTCTATTCAATATTATTTCAGCTTCAAAACACTTCATTCTTATAGATGTTGATTCACTAAAGTGTGATTCTATTTATATGAGGTAGGGGCATGAGGCTCGGCAAGTCTTATTGCTTTTTACCTCAATTTAGGTATTAAATAATTATAATGATTCATAGTGGCCGCTGCTGACTGGCCATCAGCAGTCCCCTGGCCAAGATTAATATAATTATTTAATACTTATCCAGTTTTACATCAATAACAACAAAGCTAATCAATCATCATTCAGAAATGCGGAAATTACTACTAATATTAAAGATTGATAGACATTAGGCTGGCCACCTTCTGTCTAATATCTTTACGAATAAAAATAATACTTTTTAAAACAAATTATTTAATAAATTTTATTAAAAAACAAAATCAAATATCAAATTGATCATCATTCAACTTGATGAAGAAGCGGCATGCTACATATTCTTCTTTGCATGATTCGTTCATTGAATTTCTTGTCTTTCGCAATTCAGATATTACACGTTCTACATCTGCTTCACTGCACGAAAGTGACATCATCCTTTTTCCAATTGGTCTTATTGCTTTTAGTTGCTTTATGCCATTCATGTACCAAAACTTGCCATCATTTTGAGCAAGATGATGACCATTTATAGTTAGTATCCCTAAGTTGCGTACTGTGGCACTGCGCGCCTCCGTACACCACTTAACGGTTTTGACACTTTACGAAACCGGTAACGTATATTTTACAACACAACCATAACACCAACTTAACCTTAAATATTTACAAAACCGTCTGACACATAAACAACTTCACTAACGACTTCACTACCGTCCTCACTAAATAAAAAATAACCTATTTTTATTTTTTTTTAATTTTTTATTTCATTACAAAGACATGTCTGACTACATTTACTATGACTCTTTCCCAGAACGTTTCCGTGAACTATTCAAAACTCAAGTAAAACTGAGAAACATGCATTTTAACAAAGACAGACCCATTGACGATGAAAGAAACCCTGAATATATTACAATCCCATATGACGCAAAGTTCATTGCATACATTCCTTATGGTCGCAGAGGAACGAAAACTATTTCAACAAAGAACAAAAATTATTTCTGGAGCGATGAAGAAAATTGCCTTATCTACATAAATGCATACTTAAATAAAGCTACATATTGTACAAAAGAAGGTTGGACTGGATTTGAGCTCTACATATACGACGACGATGGAAACAGACGTTGTGTATACCCATACGATAATATGTACCATTGTTTTCATCAAGCATTAAACGAATACATAGTCAGTAAGGGTCTCATTCCTGCTGAGTAGAAATGTTATATTTTTGTTCTGTCATTTATAAAAAAAATAAACTTAAAAATTAATTATATCACCACCCTCACACGTATGAAAACATAGCACAAAAATAAATTTAGGTGAAGTGGTGAGATCTCACCTCTTTTTTCACCTGTTTTTTCACCCTGTTGAATTCATTGCTTTATAACTCTCTTCCTTTCTCCAACTCTTCTAACTTCTTCTTAAGTTCAGCAATGTTGTCCTCATGAAGTTTAATCTTCCTTAATATACCTTCTCTATCTAATGGTTGCTTTATCTTTCTAAACTGAACTCTACCATCCTTCATAGTATGAATGTAAAAACCTTCTGGAATAGTTCCTGATTTAATGTATTCTACCAAAAACTTTTGTTTCATTGCTTCAGTGACTTTATTTGTCATTTTACTCTAAATAAAAAATTTAATATTAAATAAAAATAACGTTATTTTTTCAGTAAGGAAACGCAGGAGTTTTACGATTTATTTGAGGAGTAGGTTCTGGTTTAAATGTTGGAGTCGGTTTAGGAGTTGACTTTTGAACAGGAGTTTGTACTTCCATAGGTTCAGGAGTCATTGAAGGTTTTGCTTGTGAAGGTGTTGGAGTTTGTTTAACTTCAGCTACTTCAGTATTATTTACAACATTTGCTTTATTTCTTTTCAACATCATAACTGCTCCTGCTGTAGCTAGCAAACCTAGTGGGAGACCATATTTTATATAAGGACTTGACCAAATGCTATTTTTGACAGGAGCTAGTGGAACACCTAACCTTGGTGAGACTGCTCTTTGCCATTGTGCAGCTCGTAAGAAATATTCAATAGGTGCTCCATAATCGTTTGGTAAAGTTTGTTTCACAGATGGTGAAGGTTCACGAGAGCTTGATGAAGAACTCATTTATAAGCTTTAAAAATAAACGTTCATCCTTTATTCCTCACCGTCGTCCGTAGCTAAGTTATAGTCATCTAATCTTATTATTGGGATTCCATTAGCACGCACCTGAATGGCAAAGCAACAATCCCTCATAAATCCAATAAGTGGCTTTGGTACGTTTTCAGTTGCTAGTTCAATAGGTCCTTTAACAGACAATTTGTATGTTATTGGAGCAGTAGATGTTTGACCTTGCTGGAAGCAAAAGTCCACTTCTGTTGGAAAACCACATAAGAAATGTGTGTTGTCATAGCTATCCCATTTATGTTCCACACTATCATCACACCAATGACCTCATAACATCTTCATTAAATCCTATCATATCATTGTTTGTATTGCAAGCGTTCGCAACCATTTCATAAAATACAGGTCCATATGATTTTTCAGGTTCTGCAGGCATATTTCCATAAGCTCCCATGGAAAGCTGAAGATATTTAAACTTAGGGTTCTCAAAATTAACATAATAGTTGTCTTTCTTTCTAAATAGTGCCCAAATACTTTTAACATTAATAGGCGTATAAGCTGCTGTAAATGTTGCACTTGAACTATCTGTATTCTTTGAGAATGAACCGTCCATAGGAATCCAATCCATAACTTTAACAGGAAAACATAAAGCCTCGTTTGTATAATGTTCTACAAGTTCTGTATAAATGTTAGGGTCTAAAGAGAATGACTTTGATGAATGAAACATTCATTAAAATCCATCTTTGTTCGAAATAGTTGCTGGGTTACAGTTGTAATAGTAACTGTTCCACTAGCTTCTACTGCCTTCGTTATCATAGTGAATGGTTCATTCCATGGAACAAATTTATTTGTCGGTAGATTTGAATCTGAAGCAAATGCAACTTTAAGAGTTGGATTGAAAGCAATGATATCATTTACAGATATAGATGTGCATTGTAAGGCGTCGCTACTGAACTTTACTTTAAGCTGAATGTTTCCTGCAAAAGCTGGAATAAATCGAATAGCTTCTAATGGAAGGAATCTTCTAACAGGAATTCTTAAACGAAGCTTAAAATCAAATGATTTTCCTGCTGTAATTGGACCACTAACAATTTGTCCTGTTCTGCATGTTCCCGAATGACTCCATACATCTTCATGTCGAGTCTTTGAAAACATCTACTTTCTTTATTTGTTCGGTAGTTTGTGAGTTTGAAGTTATATATGCTTCTTCTCTTGCGTTGTCTTGAGAATATACGATACGACCATTTGCAAGGATTTGATATCCAGCAACTGCATAGAAAGCGTCATCGAAACCAATCCAAAATCCTGGTGGGTTTGTTTTATTGGAACCTGAACCAATTTCTTTATCTGCAATAAATTGACCTTCCATTTTATACGTAATGAATGTATTGTAAAGGTCCAACATATTTTCACCAGGAGTGAGAGATTGAATGTTACCCATGTGTTATCTTTAGCAGTTCCAGGTTGTGATGGAATCTTTGCGTCAGAATATTTTCTATTAGTGTCACCAATTTGAACTGCATTGTCTATGATATCGAAATATGAGCGAATCTGATGAATATGCTCTGCTGGAGTAAATTCGTTTAACTGTTCGTTCTGCATGTATTTACTTCGGATAAAAATATCTATTTACTTCATTATTCTCACTCTTCTTCTTGGCATTCGTGGTGGAAGTTGTTTCTTGACATTTTCAATGAACTGTACATTCTCTTTTGTCTCAACTTCTTTCACTGGTGGGTCAGGGTTCTTTGACTCGGTTTGTTTTTCAATGAAATTCACGAACTTTGCAATAAGCTCTTGGTTCGTTATTGAAAGTACATCTGGCTTCTTTTCTTCTGGTTCTTTTGGTGGCTCAGTTTGAACAGAAGGTTTTATATGGGCTTCGCCCTTGCCATGCACCTTAATGTTGTCGCTTCTGTATTCGCTAATGGAACCTTTCTTTTTCTTACATATATTTTACCATCTTTACTCTGACTTACGTAATAGAAAGGATGTTGTATTCCTCTGGCGTCATTTAATATAATAGACTCTCGCTCTGATTTTGACAAGCTCATTTTACATCGGTTAAAGTTTTAATTTTGTTTTTTATCTGCAGTCAAATGACTCAGACAAGCCCTACGGACAAGACCCAAGGGGTCATAGATGTTGAAGCATTGAAGAAAGAAATTCGTGAGCAAATTTTATCCGAACTGAAGGAACAAAAACAAGAACAAAAGCCAGAGAGACCAAAGAGAAAACTTAGTGAAAAACAACTTGCTGCATTAGCTGCTGGAAGACAAAAGAACCCACGTTTGCTGGCGAAGAAAGCTAGAGAAGAAGCTGAAGCAAAAGCTAAAGAAGCTGAAGCAAAGAAAGAGTAAATGGTTTATTTTTATCCGAATTAAATGTATAGACAAATACCTTTATCTGTTGCGTTCAGTAGTGAAAACCCTGACGTCAAAATAAAGGGGAACAGAGTAACGTTTAAGTTTCCAACAGACTGGATTGTGAACATAAATAAAGAGAAGTACATTGGCATAACATCTATGTATATAACACGTGCTTTCAGAAAGGTTGACTTTATACTTCAAGTCGAGATAGAAAATGACGAACAGTCTTTAAGCGCCCAAAACATTCACATATACAAATACTTTAAAGACGATACAACATTGCAACAATGTATGATTTCATTTAATGAGATGTTCGAGAAAAAGTTCAACATTGAAGTACAAACTTTACAGCCTTTACGTGAGTTTCTTGCACAACTGAAAGAAGAAGGTAGTCAGCCACAACTTATAGACTTTCATTATGAATTTAATGAAAATGCTGATGGAACTCATGACTGTCAATTCATTGTATTCTCACCATTCAATGAAGTAGCTAAAAAGAAAAAAAATCCATTACGTATAAGATTTCAAATCTCTGAACCAAGTGATGATTTCAAGAATGTTTTCAATTATGATGCAATGCTTCCGAGGAAAAATGAATTTTCCGAAATTAGAGTTCCAGGTATTTGGGATAGAAAGCAAGCTATATTATATTCAAACTTAAGTAAGGGAGTTGAAAATGAGTTCATTGGTCATACAAGAACTTCACCACTTCCTAACCCTAAATACTATAAATTAACTGGCTTCAATCGTGAGTTTTGGATAGACATGTTCTCCACTCATGACCATAAAGCACCTGTTTTGCTACCTCCAGACCATAAGGACTGTCTCTACATTGAAGCACAACTCTTAAACTCTACCATCGCAGTATTGTAAATGACCACATGGCTATTTTTATCACGAATGACCTCATTGCTGACAAAAATAAATGACCTCAGAACTTCAACTTACGAATAAAGCTTGTTTTAGTCGTTATTGAGAAGTTAAACTTCTCTTCAAAGCAAGGTTGACATGACTTACATAAGTCAAATCCAATCTCTTGACCGTCATAAAGTGCTTTGTAAAGTTTCATTAAACTGAACTCAGAGTCTTTGTCATATGTTCCTTGCGGAACCATTAAACTTTATCTTCATCATAGAAACACTGAACAGAGTCAGGAAACATTTCATTAGCGGTTAAAGCAATAACATCTTGCTTCACGCCTTTCATTCTGCAGTGAAATGCAACTTCATTTAAATCATTCGTGAGTAAGTCTATGTAAGTCTTCTTTCCACAAAATATTGATTGTATGCTAAACTTTGTTTTCCAGGTGTGATTTCTGCAAAGTCGCTATGAAATTGACCAAGGTTTTTACCAATGAGAACTCTTCCATAACGTTTCTCAAACTCTTCAGCTAAACGAGGGATATCTTCATTGTAGAGATGCATACTGTCCGTATCGCTATAAAAGATGTCCATTCCTAAGTCCTCAGCAGTACAGAATACTTCACACATTATTCTCTTCGACATAGACAGAATGTTAACACCAAGTGGACAGAAGTTAAAGTGTCTGCAAATGCTTTTCGTTAGCTTGAAAATAGTTTTATCTGAACCATCCAAACCTTCGAACTTCACTATATGGTTGTAGTTTCTGATGGCATATCTTATAGCATCTTTGTCATTTACTATGGTTATTTTTGACTCAATAGGAGATAGAATAGTTTTGCCATAAATACTGTTCAGAATGAGCTTTATATTTTCTTGCAAAGGATTTCCTTCTTTCTTATACTTTAACCTTAACTCAAACAACTTCTTTACTTCATCTCTTATTCTAATATCTCTGTTTCCATCGTAATAGTATCCTTGCAACACTTCACATTTGACACCTTGATATTTTATGAGGTCTTGTAATGTTATATGGTCAACATACATTAAACAGCAAGTGTTTGAACTTCTGGGAACGTTAAGTTCTGGATTTAGTTCAGGGTCACAAACTATTAAAGAAAAGTGTCTATGTATTCCAATCTCTGTTATCTTAATGAGAACAAAGAAGCCAGACATAAACTTTTCACCAATGGGTTCCTTTTGGTCGTCATTGAATAAATGTCTCATGAGATACTCTGTGCTTAACATTTCTTTCTTCAATACTTTCGGTATACCTTCTAAAGTATAAAGTCTTGCTATAGCTGATGGATATAATGAAACAGCGTCGAAGTCAGCAATGAGTTTCTTTTCGCTCTTTTGTTTAATGTTATCTGACAGCATACATCTTCCACCTTGAATACAGCGTGAAATAAATTCTCTTGGTTTATTTGAGAGGTCATATAAATTTCCATTCGGGAAGTACACTCTGTTCTCAAACAATTTGTTAGCAATTGAACAAATACTAACGTAGTCATAAACGTTTAAATCAAATTCTTTCAATATGTCATTGCGGAACTTAACAAAACCTTCTCTTAAAATTCTTACATCTTGTTTGCAATAAAATGTGCTATACTTTTCTAAGTCGAAGTGGTTCTCATCTATTCTGCAACCTTTGATGGAATCTATGTTTTTCATGAATGTATCTGCATCCCGGATAAACTTACATGCTTCAGAAATGACACCAGTTCTGTTGTCATTTGCTAACAAAACACTGCTGTAGTAGTTGTATGGAAATACTTCTTTCGGTCCTGTTTGTAAGTTAAACATAGCAGGAAATAGTTTAAGTTTCTTATTTATAACACTGTAAGAGTCTTTTATAATAATTGCCCTTCCTTTATATAAGCCAGTTATTTGCATTGTTCGTGAACCTTTAATGATGGGAGTTCCTTTCACTTCTGTCATGTGTCTTAAGATGAAGTTTATGTAATAACTGAGGTTATGGAAATATATTAAACTCTTGTCAGGAAGTCGCTCCAAAAATTCTGTTGCACAGTTCTGACCCAATATGCTTTCACTCACTGAACCATCTTCACTGTCATAACAGATGTTAAAAGCTTTATGAAAGCCATCGGTACTGCACTCAAAGTCAGCAAAGAAAACGTGCTCAGGAATGAACTTGCACTTATTTTTATTTACTTCTTTTGACTCGGCTTTCTTCTTCAGTTGTACACAATACTTTGGAGCATATGTCAAATCTTTAAATGGTGCAAGGTTCTGTTTATATAAGTCAGTCGTATATGTGAAAAGTTCTCCATAAGAAATAGGTTCGAAATATTTGCACTCCCACAATGTTTTCATAACATCCCATAACGGTGTTGTTCTATCATAACGAACTACATATTTATCTTCTCTCTTTGTATAAATCTTCATTTGTTTCTCAATGTTCATTCCACCATAAGCTTTGAGAATTTCTTTGTAATTTCTGACGAAATATGTTGTCATTGGTAATCTTTCATTTAGCATGTAGTGGTCTTCAACAAGAAGTAAGTCAATAGTTCTAACAGTTTCACATTCTTTTGGTATGTATCTCTTTATTTCATTATGTCTTGAGTCATTGAAGTAACCAATGGTAACATTAAATGCTATACCTGTTGCGTCAGAAATTTCTTGTACTTTACTTTGAGGAAAGTCTCTAACACGAATGACTTCTCTCATGTGGTCAATAGTTTCTTCATCTACTCCAGCCTGAATGCAAGCATAAACGAAACAATTGTCTTCTGTCATAAGTGTTGCAGTTCTTTTGTTCAGTTCATTGAAGATTTGGTAGCGTTCAAGATTTATAGGTAATGTGCAAAGATACTTCCAGAACTGACCGCTTCTCTCTTATAAAACTTCTTTTCACCATTATCTTTCCAAAAGCTTTCTATAAGTGCTGGGTTTCCTGTTTGCTTAAGAGCTTCCAAAATGGCTTTCTGGTCATTTGTCAGTGTGCTTTCATCTCTATATGGTCTCTTTTTTGGTTTGCCTTTCTTTACATCTGACATCGTTAAGCCTTCATATTCTGTTAAATCATACATCTTTATTTCAGTAAGATTCTTTATGTTTGTCAAGAAGAAGTCATAGTGCATTTCAACAATACCTGCAGCATTTGCTTCTATCTCTGATATAAAGTTCTCCTTCAAGAGCTGATGTAGTAATGTTCCAATATTATTGAGGTTTAACGTAGAACATTCATACTTTCCACCAAGTTTATAACATACCATCCATCTTGTTGGAGTTTATTTTAATCTTCTCTAAGAGTCTCATGAAAACCTTACCGAAATGTTTGTGTAAGTAGTCTCTGTTTGGTTCATCTAAAGCTTCGATGTTAAAGTCAATGAGTCTATTGCCTGACTTCACATTTCTCTTCCTATTCTCTTCATCTTTCTTTAACCATCTCTCACCTTCTTTTGGTTTGTCGTCAATGGAACGAATGACATCGTTAGCTTTGCGAACTTGTTCTATAGCACTTTTAAACATCTCTCTTCTCTGTTGTTTCAGTGTGTCGTCTCTTCTTCTTGTTTCACCAACGTTTGCATTTGTTATGTCAAACATTTCTCTTCTTACTTCATGAGGTACTGAACGTCTATGATATAAGTCAATAGCAATGTCATTTAAAGGAAATGCTCTTGCATGGACTTCGTCCTCGCCGCGTTGCGGCTTTATGAACTCATGAATTCTATCATAACTTATTGCACCATTATAGTCATTGAGGATGTCAGCGAGTGCTTTTTTGTTTGTTGCGTAATGTTTTGCTACTTCTATGTTAGCTTCTGTAAGAAGTTGTTTTATTTCCGAGTGTTCTAACTTAGACAACTTCCGATACATCTTTAGTAGGAAATAAAAAAAAATATTTTTTAAAAAAACTAGATTAGATTTTTTAAGTTATTTTTCAAAATAATTTAATATTTTTATTTTAATGAAACACATGCAAGATTGCAAGTTCTTTTCATACAATGCTCTCGCTACTGCCATCAAGAATGAGTTCAATAATGCTTCAAATGTTAATGTTATCTTTAACAAGAAGTTTGTGAAAGAATCTAAGTTTGGTCAGTATGTCAGACCATTAGCTATCGTCATTGACCGCAAACGTTATACTTCACAAGAGTTAGCAGTAGTTTTGAAACAAAAGAGTTTCTTCGTGAATGTCAAAGATACTCTTTATACTGTCATAAAGAACTCTAACATTGACTTCTTCAGTATTGCTTTAAATCTTTCCGAACAGAAAGAATATAAGAAGGGTGAAACAAATGTGAAATATTATCCTTCATCTCTGAAGACAATAACGAACAAAGATGTTATACAGAAATTCTTACCAAAGGTTGAAGAAGCTTCTATTGACATTGACGAAGGAAGTGAAATGGTTGAAGAAATAGACCCTGAAGCTATTTAAGCAAAAATATATTTTTGAATAACTGATGGTGTCACTACGTCACCATGTCACCAGGTTAATTAACTTCTTTTAAAAATGATGACAACATGACATTTTGACAACACAGCAGGATAAATGCAAAAATGAATGTTATCGTTTATGTTATCGTTTATGTTATCGTTTATGTTATCGTTAATGTTATCGTTAATGTTATCAGTGTCGAACATAATTGACGTAGGATTCATGACTTCTTCGTAAATGAGTGTAAATATAGCACAAAAATATATTTTAGGTGAAGAGGTGAGATCTCACCCGTTTTTTTCACCTCTTTTTTCACCTCATTCTCTCTTCGTTAATGTTATCGTTAATGTTATCAGTGTCGAACATAATTGACGTAGGATTCATGACTTCTTCGTAAATGAGTGTAAATATAGCACAAAAATATATTTTAGGTGAAGAGGTGAGATCTCACCCGTTTTTTCACCTCTTTTTTCACCTCATTCTCTCTTCGTTAATGTTGTCGTGACTTCATCATTAATGTTGTCGTGACTTCATTCTTCCTCTTTGAAGTTATCGAAATATTCTGTTATTTTTTCCTTCAGTAATGTTAAGTCTTCTTTGAATGTAAGTATTGTGCAACCTTTGATGTCATAGTGTGTTTGAGGAAGAGTATTTTTGACAATTTCCTTTATTTGCTCATTCGGTGTCATTGAAATCGGTAAGTTTTCACGATAGAACCAGTTTCTGTCAGATTTATATATTTTAGCTAAGTCATAAAAGCTCTTGTTGTTTCTTCTGACTAAATGCAACATAACCATATCTTTATCTTCTTCTTTCTCCAATTCTTCAGTATATATCATATACCTATAACTCTTTTCCTTTCCTTTTGGTACTGAACGCGGTATTCTTTTCTGTATGCTTTTGTCTTTGGATTCAATGACTTCATCTTTTGCTTTATATAGTTCATCTAACATCATGAAAATATAACAAGCATAACGAGGTGAAGCCCACATTGCTACAGCGTTTACTAAAAGTCTATGAACATAATAACCTTTCAAACAAGGAGCCAAATTCTTGCGATTTTCATACGGAATCTCTTCATTCTGCAAAGCAATTATATGAGGAAATTCTTCTAAAAAGTTCTTTTGTCTGTTGGTTTTCAAACCAATGATATGCTTGCTTTGTAGAACGAAGAGCATTCATTATACTTTGCATTTGGTACATGTCATCTTTGACTGAACGAATGAGTCTCAATTGTTTGTTATACTGTATGTACTCGTATTCTTCATTTATGGCTTCATGAACGATAGCAGTTGTTGTGTTCTCTGATGTTGACATTACTGTCTTTACATACAAGATAAAAATTTTTGTTAGAAAAAAATTAGCGTTATTTTCTGACTTTCACAAAAGACCAAAAATAAACGCTTTACATGTATTTTTCAGCAACTTCGTCAAATAATTTTATAGCTTTATCTATCTCATCTACTTCAAACGTTTCTTTACCTTTTGGGAGCACCATACATTTTCTCAAAAACTTCAGTAGTTCTGTTTCTGCGGCTCTCATATCATTAACGAACACAACCTTGACTCTATTGACTATACTGTCATATCTTTGAGTTATATTATATGTTCTTCCTATCTTATATCTCTTTGTGTTGAAGTCCTTCGGTTTCTGAACGATGTAAAGTAAGCCTTCACTGCAACGTTCAGTATCGAATGAACCATAAGTTATGAAGTTATATCCAACAACTGGGTCAACCACAAAAATATTGGTATAAGACTTTTGTCTATAAGAGATATGCTCTGTGTTCCATAGATCTACTGATATCATGAGCTCAGGATTTCTTGTCAAAATTTTCTGAGTAGAAGCAATTCTAACCCAGTCCTTTGTTTTCTTTCCAGAAGGTGTTATAATGTCTGACAAAGAATATTTGTTGTATTTCTTTGAGTATCTTACGTTTAAATCACCTATTCTAACCACTTTGGTGTCATTGTCAATCTTTCTTACTGTTTCAAACTCAATGTTTGACATTACTGTCTTTACATACAAGATAAAAAAATAAATAAAAATAAAACTAACTTTATTTTTATCTTTTATGAAAATTCATGAAATTTGGTCAATTTTCAGCAAAAATAATGTTTAGGTGAAGAGGTGAGATCTCACCCGTTTTCTCACCTGTTTTTTCACAAGCGTTTTACATGAATTGTACGATGTATATTTGAAATCCTAAACAATTTCGTAGCTTCTATTTCTTCTTTTAGTACATCGAATGTTTTAATCATGCCGAAAGTCTCTTTATATTTCTTCTTGACGTCAGACAGAAGGAAATCTTCTGCTGTTGGATAGTTTTTATTAAGAAATGTCAACATATCCATTTTATCTTCTGCTGGCTTTTCTGCTTCTTTCTTTAAGTCTGCATAGTCGTTTCGCATTCTTTCTATCTCTTTGACTGAGTAGTTATATTTCCTCATTGCTGCTTTACATTTTGAACATTGCGGATTCATTTTTGCGTTATACATTGAAATAAAACCAGCTAGAACAACTAAGGCGTCAATGGTTTTCTTTAACTCAAAAGCTGCTGGTTTTATCTGTTCATTCCATACCTTACCTCTTCTATCTTTATCTCTTATCTGCCATACACATTTTGCAACTAATGAAACAAAGTTATCGTATGTCTTAAATTCTTCGGATTTGTAAAGGTCAGAAATATTTTTATAAACCATGTCGCAATCTTTGTCCATAACTTTATGGTTGCAATGATATCCTAGAAACTCATAGTTTACCTTTCGTATGAACTTCTTTATTTCTACCGAGTCAGTTGCTTTGACTTCAATTTCGTCAAATTCGGGAATGGTTAGTTTTTGTTGCTGAATTTCAGGTAGTTTAGATAAATGGTCGATGAGGTCCTGCATGTCATAAAGATATTCTTCATTTTCTTCATCCTGTGCGGTACAGTCTAAATTACTTGTTAACAGTTCTTGCTTTATCTTCTGGATTTTTGTTTCGAAAGTATATGAAGAAGGAATGAAGTTTTTCATTTCTACTAACATTGACGTAGGATTCATAACTAACGAGTTTGGTGCTGTTGTGGACAGAGTCCTGCCGTTCGCGGCTTGAATTGCTGTTGTGCCGATTGTTGAAATCATATCTTTACATACAAAATAAAAAAATAAATAAAAATAAAACTAACTTTATTTTTTCTATCTTAAGGAAATTCATGAAAATTCACGAGACCCAAAGGGTCTGAGCCGCTTAGCGGCGAGGGTGAGAAAACAGGTGAGAAAACGGGTGAGATCTCACCTCTTCACCTAAAATATATTTTTGGTGTAAATTTATGACAAAAATAAATGGTACCATTAATGATATCATGACTGTTCTCATTCATGTCTGATTTACATCTAATGAAAAAGTTTAGAAGAATTTTCTTATTCTTTCTGGCTTATTTTTGTCTTTCCAGTACTCCCGCTCTAATGGTCCCAGATGTGTTGACTTTGACTCTCTCAAGTTCTTAGATGGTATAACATCTTCAACGCCTCCTTCATATCTTACTTTATAAGTGTCATCGTTTATGTTATAGCCAAGTATTTCAATAACCACTCCTCGCTTTGCTTCGTCAATGGTTTCAGCAAGTTTGCCATTACTACTTTCAACTAATTTATGTCGAGGGTAAAATGCTATGGAGTCGTCGGCAGCTTTTATAAGATATCCATTACCTTGCGTAGAGTCTACAATATAATAGTTTCTACTTAACCTTAAACGTTTCTTTGTCAACGGTTTGTCGTCAAGAACTACACGAACTTTTGTACCAGGAATGAGGGTAAATTGTGTTGAATTTCTGATATTTTGTGTTTGGCTTCGTTTCTTTTGTATATACTTTTCTTCTTGTTGTTGTGTCATTGAATTTGGTGTATGTCCTGTTGTAGAATGTGTTGAGGAATTATATACTTCGAGAAAATGTTTCATTGTTTCTTCGGTAAAGTCTCGCTCTTGATTTAAATCTCTGAGCGTTCTTATGAAGCGGTTTATGATGCCGAGTATGTTATGGTTATGGTCTTCAGTAGTGTAGTGAGTTATGTTATGCTTAATGAGAAAATCTGTGATTTCATTGCTGAGGTATGCACTGTCTTGGTCTGATGTTAAAGTACTTGGGCTATGTTCTGCTACAAACTTTTGTAAAACTCTTAACACTTCACGAGTTCCTTTATTTTTCATTATATACGCAAAAGCTTTACAAGTGTTAACATTAATGAAGATGAGGAATGGGTTATGTCCTCCTTTTCTGCTTTGAATGAGAGTGTCAAATTGGTATGCGTCAAGAGTGTTGGAGTAAATTGGTAAAAAGTAGTCGTAAGGGTTTATTTTTGTTTGATGTACAACATTTTTGTCAAAGAACCTTTTCACTTCAGCTCTGTTAGTAAATCCCCAACTCTTTGCAGCTTCATTGAATTTCTTAAATGACCTCCATGGATGTTGTTCGAATACTTCTTTCAAGCTCATTTATGTAAAGTTAAAGATTTTATTCAAGGCTCAAGCGCGTTCATTGAACTCTATACCATGCAAATACAGTCACAAATGGTGGCATATAATCTTCACCCGAGCCTGTTGGATTTGTTGTGAAAGTATGGACATGATTTCCTCCCGGTTCAGTTGGTCGAAAAATCTTTTTTGCTGCATTGTTATAAGATGGAGATAAAACGTCATGGCCAGCTTCATACTCTGAGTTGTATAATGGGTGGTCTCTTAATGAGTGGCTATGGTCGCCAGAAAAGTTTGTCGTTCCTGTATGAGTGTGCGCGGGTAAGTTTGCTTCAGTAATTTTCTTCGAACCTCCTGTTTGCTTTGAAGAGTTAGCACAGTATAAGAATTTATCTGCAATCTGCTTCCACGTACCAAAACCTAAAACACTTGCTGGATTTGTTGAATTCATTGACGTATAAATAGAACCAACAGGATATAATGTTTGAAGTATTTCAGTCTTCATTGTTAGAAGTTCATGTTTATCATTTATAAATCTTTTGCCATCTACAATATTTATATTGTTTGTTATTAAACCATTAGGAAAAGTAGGAGGATAAATTCTTTGTTCATGTACAGTTGCACCGTTTCTTCCTGTTTTTGTTACTTCTTCAATGCATGCCTTAACTTCTTTAATCCTGATTGTTTGAAATTCTTCATGTGTATGGTTCTTGTCGGCTTTTCCATTAAGCGCAGCATTTACTTCCGACTTCTTTGCATAATTTTCATCTACATAAGTTTTGTCGGCTTTCTTATCTAACATTGCTGGTAGTTCATATGCTTCAAAGTTTCTGGCATGACCTTCAATGTTCATACATCTGTTATCTAAATTGTTTAGTGTATCTTTTACGCTTGTACTCGGATTCTCTAAAGGTGCACTTGAACCAAGGGTATAGTTCAATATTATGTCGTCTGCTCTAACAGTAGTGAAGGATTCGTTTGTATGGTTCTTGTCGGCTTTACTGTCTAATGTAGCTTGAAGTTCATTTATATCGGAGATGTTGTGTTTATGAGATTTCAAAACTTTGTTCATTGCTTCGAGTTCAACTTTGTCAGCTTTACTTTTAATAGCATCTTCAAAAGTTATTTTTGCCTTAACTCTCAAATGTAAATCTTGGTTCAACTAATACACCGTTAACATTGAAATAGAGGCATAAATTTCACCGTATAACCAAATGCTTCTGGTGCTTTAGCTACATCATACTGTACAGTACAGCTTATGTCATAACCTTTAGCACGAATGTATTTATATCTTCTTTCATTAACATTTTTTGTCTTCGCTTCATCACTTCGTGTTAAATATCCATGGTAGTCCGTTATAATCTGTTCGTCTGAAGTTATATAATGAACGTGGTTCTTGACTTTATCACTCAGAGCTAAAAGCTCATTTTTGTCTGCTTTTTCGGCTAATTTCTCATTAACATCATTCACTTCTAATTCAACTCTTCCGCCAGAACTCTTATTATCATTAATCTTTTTCATTAATTCGGTAATTACGTCATAAAGACTATATTCTGTTTTCGGTTTTGTAAATAATGAGTCAAAATTTCTTTTCATCATTACATCGCTGACATTAATGATATCACCAATTCCTTTTTCATTTATTCTCTTCATTAATTCTGCAATAATGACGAATATATAATCTGTTAATTTATTCTCTTCATCGAGGGTTATAGAATGTTTTGAAATTGAATCATTAACTCCTCTAAATAAATCAATAACTTCAGGATACACGTTTTTAATGTCTCGAATAACCCGACCAGTATCCTGTTGTTCATGTTCTTCGTTCCCGTCGTTACGTGGTTTTATATCTCTAACCATCATCAACGCAGCCATAACCGGAGGGTTTGTTGCTATCTGTTCGAAAATCCGTCCGTTATGTACGGTATATCTAAATAATTTCTTTGTGTTTGTTAAAACATTTGAAACAAGTCTTTTAAAACCATCTACAAAATTTCCTGTTTCACCTAATGTTCTTGCAGCATTTACAAGCTCACCCATTCCCGCTTTTGACCCCAAAAACGTCCATATTGCATTTATTTCACTCTCTATAGTTGTCCATTCAGCGAAACTAACACCCGCATTCGCTAAGCTGAAAATGAAATTCAGTGGATCGAACTTAATTCCACCTTCTTTTTCAATTTCAACGAACTCACTAACATGAGATTTTAAGTATTCTTTCGTTAAAATTGTTTTCCCCGATGTTATGTCATTAACGAAACTATCACCGTCAAAAGTTAACGAATTCAATTTCGTCGTTGATGCTTTTATTTCATACACCGCTTTATCAATAGTTTTTGGCTCACCTTCTTTAGAAGCATATGAAACATTAATGAATGAATTATATGTATTCGTGAATGAATTAAAATCAATGATTTTCATTAATGACGCCTTTAATGATTCATTTACTGTCGAATCCCTTAAAGTAATTAATGAACTGTCATTTATGAAAGGTACACTGCAAACCGTCGAGTTTGGATCAAATGCTGTAGTTGGTGCAGGAATATTAATGATATAAGTCATTAAATCATTAAGTGACGTAAATAATGTTGTCGTTTTTGATTTAATTTCTTTAGCATCTGTTATATACGGTAATTTTATTTCTGTAGTTTCTGAATTAAAGATATTCGCTAAAATGTTTTGTAAACTGTTTTGAACAGCTGTGTAAACCGTTGAATCCGGAACTCTTACGATTTCGCCGTCCTTAATAAAAGGCATTGCACATGGTGTAGTGCTTGGGTCAAATCTTTTTGGGTTATGATTCAACATATATTCTAATGCTTCATAAACAGACCTATATACGGTTGTATTATCTTTTTCAATAATTTCACCGTCCTTTATAAACGGCATAGTACATGGAGTTAAAATAGGGTCAAACTTTTCATAGTCCTTCCATGTTATGTATTTCTCAGTATTTCCATCAGTGATAACAATATATTTGTCAGTAAGTGTGAGAGAGTATTGACCAAAATATAAACGTTTAGCTCTGTCAGCTTCATACGCATATGCAGCTATACTCATATTTTAATGAGAATAAAATGTTGTTCTATTTGCAAAGTACAGACCCAAACGAATACGGACAGTAAAGCTACAAACAAACTTAGGTCTACAGAATGAGGCGCTTGCATTCAGAATGGTTGACTTCAATACTATCGCTTCATTCGTTATAACAGATGAAACAGATTTCATGGAGATTGAAATAGATGGAAAGAAGCACGAAATAAGATTTCACAATAATGTAGAATATAAGATGGAAACATTAGCTGGAGTGTTAAATGCTCTCATAAATACTACAATAAACAAGGATAACGAAGAAAACTTAATGAATGTTAAACTTATTGCAGGAGTTTTGAAGTTCAGTTATGCGAAGGAGTTTAAGATAACACGAATGAGTCATAGAGTACAACTTCTTTTGGGTGCATACCATATGACATTTCCTTTGAAAAGTGTTGACAAAACGATTGAGATGAAATCTGTTCCATACGTATATGTTATGGTAATTGTTTTATACATTGAGTCTAAAATAGCTAATGTCACAGGCATTTCAGGAGTTAATAGTAAAGGTTCAGTAGAATATAAATCCTTCTGTTATGCAGTCAATTCAATGTTCATTCCAAACGTTCCTGTCATAGCAACTCATTTAGGTAAATGGGTTCGCATTAGTCTCATAATTTGAAAGACATGCAATTCAGACTTGTTGACTTTCAAGGAGAGCCTGTAAGAACTGAAGGCACCAGTGCGAATGACTGTTGAAGTTGACTTTTTTAGAAAATATTAAATGCAACAGCTTACAAGAGAACTCAGAGCTAAAAATATAAAGTATGAATGTTATGTATTAGGTCATGACTTTGGTTGTTGCTGTTTGATGAAACAAATGAATTAGTTATGTCAGTCAAGAGAACAGAAAAATATTGTGTTAGTGAAAACTGCACCAAGTCAATAAGATTAGGTTTGCATTATGAAGATGAGTTCGATACTGTTTGAATTTTGGATAGATATTACAAATTGCTAACTTGAAATTTTTTTTGACTGACGGCGCAAAGCGCCAAGATGGGCTCAAAGAGCCCTCCTGACTGCTTTAATTTACTAAAAACATATTTCAAACAAGTAGTTTATAGTCAGTAGATAGTTTTGTAATACTCGTTCGAATATTTATACTTAAACTCAACTCCTGTAGTTCCTGGTGTTTCAATGATGCGGATGTTACCTATTTTCATGAATAGTGGGGTTTGACCACAGCATTCGATTTCAGGGTCGAGATAGTCAATGACACATTGTTTCCCTGTTATTCGTGAGATAACATTTTCAAGGTCCTCCTTTGTTAGAATTATTTGGTTCTTGCTTATAAGATTTACCAAAAGCTTCTTATCGTCTTTGAGTAAAATTGTTTGGTATAACTGAAGAAGGTAATGGTCTACGTTATCTGAAGGATTTGTTTGAACATTTGTGTAAGGATTGTCGTTGACTTCTCTTGAAAGAATTTGGTCCAGTGGTGGATACTCTAACTTAACATCTGATGTAGCGTTAGCGTTTGAAGCTGTGTTTAAATTCACGGATTTCAGCTCTGGTTAAACACTCTGAACTATAGTTCTTTATGACAATATTGTTTGTCGTTCGTGAGTCAACATTTGATGTTGGTTCAATTGGAACATTAACGGCACCAGCTAAGATGGATTTGCTTCTCATTTCATATAGAATAAAAACCTTTTATATGTATGAAATGAACAATATACTCGACAAGGGTTTGAATGTAAAGCTAACGAATGAAAATATTGTTGAATTCACTGAGACAGGTGCTGTGTATAAAGATGTAGAACTACTGAACAAAAGAGCTAAGGGAAGAAGCAGGAACATGAACAAAGGGTGGAAGCCTATAAAAATTTATGTCAATGATGGTTCAGGAGGTTCAAACATAAAGTATGCAGAAAGTTATAGAGTTTATGCTCTCAAAGGTGAAAAGCTTTCATTTAAGAACAGCTATTCTAACGCATATCCTCAAAAGCTAACGGATGGGGAAGTGGATGATATGAATGACAGCAAAAATATTAACAGAAATGGCGACAGAGATGCATGGAATTTGTTTACCATCAGTCAATTGAAGGTTAAACTTTAAAACAATGTTGGTCGTTCCCATGGAATATTTTTGACTTTAATGGTATTAGTCATGATATGAATCTCAAGGTATGAACGAGGAGAGATGAGAGACTTATATGCTTCCCAAATTTCTTCAAAAGGTAATGTTATACCTGACTGTTTCCAAATGAGTTCAATATCATAGCGTGAGAAACCTTGAAAGATAACGAAGTCAGTTATGAGACGTTTTATGTTTAAAGCTAAAAACCTCCATGTTTGCATAAGTATTGCTACAGTTAAATGGTAATGTCTGACTTTAGTTATGATGTTAGCTAATGG